TTTCAAAAGTACATGAAGCTCAAACTCAAAGGCCAATTTAAGGTCCCTTCACAAGGAATACATCTGTAAAATAATACACCTTTGTATGTACTGTGCAAAATTTTATCCAAGGTTATTTTTAAAAGTGGACTAAACTCGTAAGTCAAGATAAAGGGGTAAAAAATGAATAAACATGTCAAAAATATAGAATCATGTGAAGTTTGAAAGACCTAGCACCAACTGTTCAAAAGTAGTGGTCAAGGTTAAAGTTTCATTTCTGGCAAAAGTGCGTCAAACTTCAAGATCAAGGTCAAAGATGTATGTCCATCTGTTTAATAAATATACCAAATTCCAAAGAGGTCAATAATGTTAGAACCAGAAGCAAGGCCTTGACACATAGAATACACATATGAAATACGAAAGCTACATGTATTTATTGATATATCCAACCAATCAAAGGTTATGGGCCAAAGTTTTTGCGGATAGAAAGCTTAACGGACAGCTAGAAAGACAGATGGATAGACAGGGTAAAAACTGTAAAGCCATAAATCTTCGATTACCGGGCCATAAAAAAATATTAAACTCATTTATAAAACTTTGTTTTCTTGAAATGAATTTGACATATTTCTATTGAGAGAAGAGAAAGAGAGCGCAATATCAAAAATCCATTTTTTATAAAACAAACATACCTGGTAGCACAATAGTAAAAAAAAAGATATTTTTGTAAAACACCGATGCCTTTGTAAGATTGATGAAGGTTAAAGTTTCTCATATGCAAGGTCAAATTTTGCAAGGTCAAGACTTAAGAAATCGAAGAAGTCGGTACCCATAGAACGGTCTTGTTTCATGGAAAACACCTGTGAAATATGAAGGTCCTAGCAACAAACATTGAAAAGTTATGGCAAACTTTTTTTTTCAAAAGTAGGTCAAGGACAAAAATCTAAAAAGTGCTGGAATTTTAACCATTGGGAAGATCTTGTCACAAAAATACGCAAGTGGACTATATAAACCGTAGCAGCAAGCTTTCAAAATTAATAGTTAAAGAATTTATGTAGTGTTTTTAGTAGGTCAAACTCTAAGATCAAGGTCAACATGTCAAAACTGTTGATACAAAAGGAAAGGCCTTGTCACAAGAAATAAACACGTGAGATACATGTACTATAAAAACATATATGTAGCACCTGTACAAAAGTTTTAATTAAAGTAAAAAAAAATTTCAGAAATAGGTCAAACCCCAAGGTCAAAGGGTCAAAATAATTTGTTATCATGCTAGGCATGGACTTGTCATAAGAAATATGTCTTTGAAATACGAAAGCCGAAGTACTAGCCGTTCAAAAGTGAAAGCCAATAGTGAAGTTTTTTTTTTCAAAACAACTCCAATATCAAAGTTGAAAAACATTTATACTCGTGAAGGGTGGGTCATATCACAAGGAATAGATAATGCTAATATTGAAATCTCTGTCCTTAAATCAATTGAAAATTGTTTGGAAGCTTGCGTATTTTGAAAAAGATATTAAAGAATAAAAATTTAGATAAATGTATCGTTTCTTTGTTGGAATGTTTTTGATAAAGTGCTGATTTTCTTTGATTTTTTATCGCACACATTGATCACGAAGTACATAATGTTATGAGATTCAAGAATTTATCCATTAGAGAGAGAGAGAGAGAGAGAGAGAGAGAGAGAGAGAGAGAGAGAGAGAGAGAGACCTTCCAAAAAATAAAATTCTTCCTAATGCAAACCAATAGGAGACTTGAATACTTAAATCCGAACAATTAGTTGATAGCAGGCTAGCTGATCTTCCAAGTTTTCTGCACTGAGCGTTAATTTGTTGGAATGGCAATCATTTCTTTCAAAGCGAGATCCTAATTAAATATTATTGTTTTAATTAGATTCAGGTTTCTGTAACCGAGGATTTGGATGCTTCTTTAATTATATCAACCTCTCGTGAACATTTTGTTATCATACAGTACAAATGTCAGAAATCGATGTTATTGAAAGTAAATGCCTCAAAACATTTAGATTGATAGTTTGGCACACTTTTACTCCTTGGTATAATTATTAAACATTTTGATTTATGGCATTTGTTTAAAATACAGAGCAAATCTCTCTCTCTCTCTCTTTCTCTCTCTTTCTCTCTCTCTCTCTCTCTCTCTCAACAAGAAGAGATTATCAATAATTTTATTTTATTCCAATTTCATTTTGATCCCACTCTGAAATTAAAATTGGAATATTGTTGTACAACTCTTCGGTCGCTGTTAATTGTTTGTATTATTACTAACATTATACCACGCTACTGGCATTAATATTAATTAAAACAGGTATAAATGTATGTGGTTGTGTGTGGTACACAAATTAAAATCAAAAGTTAATTTCCCACTTTCCTCTTCTCACATAAAACAAGATGTGTTTGTAGAACATTGGTGCCCCCGTTTGGCAACCTATGGAAAAGTGAAAGTTTCTTAAATGCATGTCAAATTAACTCCATATTTGATCAAGGTCAAAAGATAAAAAAAATGTTACTACATAAAGAAAGGTCTTGTTTCAAGTAATACAAATGTACAATACCAAAGTCCTAGCACCAAGATTTTCAGACTTATGACCAAAGTTATAGTTTACAAAAAGTGAGTCAAGATATCTAGATAAGTAACGACAAGATCAAGGTCAAACGAACAAAACTGTTGGTAGCCAAAAAAGGTCTTACCACAAGGAATAAACCTGTCAAATATGAAAGCCCTTGCAAAAACCATTCACAAGTAATTGCAAAGGTTAAAGTTTTTCAAAATTAAGCCAAAGTCTAGGTCGATGTCAGAAACATTAGGACATGTAAATAAATATTGCAAGCAATATACATGCTATAATTAAGTAGCATAGCCATATAGCTCAAACCGTTGGAAACTTCTGGCCAGGTAAGAGTTTGGTAAAGTTTTGTGAAGGTGAGTTAATTAATTCTAAGGTCAATTAGGGTTCAAGAAAAAAGTCTTATGAAAATGAAGCATATGAAGATAACGAACAGTATTCCAGATCAAGAGTTCATAAAACAATACAAAATAGGAGCAGAGCAAACACGGACCTCCAAAACATCAGAGGTGGGATCAGGTGCCATGGAGGAGTGAGCATCCCCTGCCGACCTGGTCACACCCGCCGTGAAATTTACATATGAAAATTAAAGTTTATGCGGACAAACATCTAAGCAGATGGGCAAAGTAAAAAACAAAACAAAACTATATAATCTTCAATTAAGGGGGTATGAAAATACCAACACAGATAAAGAATCGAAGTCTTGTGTGTGACAGTCAAGCTCAAATGAAGGCTTCAATAACATACAATATATACTTCGAGAAAAAGATTGTCTTTGCAATTCTGAATTACATTTTTCTTCTGGGGAACCTTTAAATATCAATGTATTCTCTTGCCTCACACTTGTTTTATTTGAAAACACATTTTCCCAAACACGTAGAAATTTCGCCACATTCCCAAAATATATGTGTAGTAATAGCAAACTTTTTCTTTTCAATTTTTGTACATGTATGTATTTCTGTTTGAAACCTAGATCTAGACCACATGTACAAGAAATGCATACTTTACCATATTTTGTTTAAAATGGATCAGTTCCTGAAATGATCAAATTGCGTTATACAAATCGTCAAATGGTATCAACATACTATATATGTTCATCCTAGAGACCTAATCTGTGTGCATTCACTTGAGCATTGCATAATATTATACGAAAAAAACTCGGTAATCCACGGGAAATATTACGCGTAAATAAATGTTTCGATCATTTCATTCGATTTCATGTGTGCTGCCCGAGCCTATTAAGAAACATTTTGCTTAAGCCTATGAGTCTAAAGTTTATCCTTTATTTCGAACATTTCATACGTCATGATAAACAAAAAATTGTTTTGCACTTAATGACAACATATGTGTTTCAGAAATTAGTGTGGCAGCTAGCAAATTAACTTCATTTTTCCGTATTTTTTAAATTTAAAGGCTCTCAACCCCCCCCCCCCCCCGAATTCCGATGCTTTAATATGCCACAGGTTTTCTTTTGATACCCCCATATTGTAAGCACAGATGTAGTTTTATTGATAGATGCCTATCTGTGTTTTGTTCTTTGCTTCTTTAGATCCGCCCGTGTGTTGTTAAACAGAGGGGATATTTTAATGATACATGCCAATCTTTATAATTTTTTTCTGAGAAATCTTTGATCCGCCTGTCTTGTACACTTATTGATACGCGCCTGTCTTCTAAATCTTCGTTCGGTATGTTAGCTTTGATCCGCCCGTGTTTTTACAGAGTCTGTGTTTTATCGATACGCACTTGTCGATACGTTAAGAAATGATGCGTTTTTATCCAGTCTTATCAATCTTTTATAGACATTTCCACCTGGTCGATCAGTTGGAAACTTTTTTGATAAATACCTCACCACAGCCAGAACGTATCAAGAAAAATTGAAAACTCTCTCTTTCTCTCTCTCTCTCTCTTTCTCTCTCTCTCTCTCAGGTGCACATAAGTATTAAGGATTTATAAATCAAAAGAAAGAAAAAATATCAAATATGAAAAATATGTTTTACCAAGACGTCGGCATAAAGGTAGTCTCTAAAGATATTATTTTTCTAGAACTTTAAGTTTAGATCCAAGGATGTGCGATTTAAGATAAAATGATAAATTTCCGTCCCACGCTTTAATTTCTGTAATATCATATAAAATTAAGTGAGCCAGGTGTTCAGAGTTCACAGACTTATAAGATGAATGCTGGAATCATGACATTATAATCACAAGACAGTTGTCCTTTTGTCAACCTAAAATCCGCCTCCCCACCGTCCCATTTATACATTGTACATGTCACGTGGTCTTCGCGTCCTATGGGGAAGGGAAAGGGGGGGGGCTTAAACATGTTTCTATCTTATTATAAATACGTAACTTATATAAATGAATTTAAGTATCAATTTAAAAGCTAACATATTTCACGAATACACGTTATCATTAAGGAAATAATACATGTATATATCATATTTACCTTCTCCCAAGGTGAATATGAAGATATCCATTAAAATCAAGGAAATTATTCCAAACATTTTCTCTCCGAATTTTGATGGAGCCCACCGCAGATATTTGGGTAATATTTTCCAATAAACACTTGTTGATGCCAGTGATTTTTGAGTTGCGTGCTTATATTTTTTTTCTTTAACTTGTTGCAGACGATAGTTTTAGATCACGTGACTTTTGTGTGAGCGATAAAATATGCATGCTTTTTTTTTCTCTCTCTCAAACTTTTTACATAATCTAAGCTTTATCTTAAAAGCACTTGTGGGTTTCAAGATAGAGGGAAAACATTTTAAAGCAGTGAATCTTAAGAATTTCATACCTAACTCTAGTTTCCTGATGTCCGTTTGAATAACGAGCCCGTCATGTTGTGGTTCTTTTTTTCAGTCATAGGCACGAAACCGGACATTGCTCTGAAGTGAGCAAAATTCCTCATCCCCTGAAAGTCTGTTTACTCACACGCTATTTTTTTCTGGGAGGAAATGATCGTTTTGCAAGTCACGAAATTTACATGTATATATAATTAAAAGAGAAGAGCGTCAAGATGTAAATGTATTTTATGCACGGTATTCATGCACAGGTACAAAGAATTGCACATGCTCTCTCTCTCTCTCTCTCTGCTTTTTTTTTTCGAAAAAAAAAAAACATTCCATTAATCTTTCAAGTCAACAATTCTACTAATGAGTAAATTTCATTAGCTCCGAGATATGATCGGATGATTCCAAATGGTCAACATGCAATTTTATACAAACTAATGCATGTATAGTACATTATACTGATATGCAATATGAGTTCCGACCACTCTAATACACTGTATATCTTTATCAACTTTATGCACTTAGCAAGTGGTGTGACTAATAAGTGTAAATCTACACGATTATACTTTGATGTTAAGTATTTTATTACTTTAGGTGCATGTTTTTAAAATTGTAAATGAATTTTCTACATAGATTCTAAATATGTTTTTATCAAAACTTTATGAACTCTCCTTGACAAAGGCCTTTGGATCGCTTAAAAAAATTTGTGTGTAAAAGTTTTTTTTTTCAACAACTCAATTTTTTTCCTAAGCGATCTAAACGCCTGTGCTCCTTGAAATACTAATTTGCAAAAAATTTAGAAAGAGAAAATTCATTACGGAAAGGAAATGTATGATGTATATCTTTAGGCAATATAAACCAACACACACATAAAAATTCTCTCTGATTTAACCGTATATACATGTATTGTCTTAATAAAAGTAGGTGTTCGTTTAATATTTGAAGGTGAATACCTTCCGAGCAGGTATTCAATTCAAACACACTTTTAATGCACTCGAACTTCAAGGCTTTTATTTTAATGTACTTTTATCCATTGTCCCAACCATACTGCATTTAATGAAAGAAATGGTGATTAGAGAATTCTGCCTTTATTGTCAAGTCAATTTTATGAAGAGAAATTAAGTTATGATTGGCAAGAGTAGAAAAAAAATTGTGAATTATGAAATTTGATTCATTACCTTTTTTTATATTGCAGAAGGAAGTTAAAGAACCCGTCACAGTATTAATGTATTATATATCAAATAAATGATATGAAAAATAAATTTCATGCGTTTTATTTTTATAGAGTTACCGTCCTTCGCGTTGATCTTTATTTTCTATTTGGAAGAGTTCATATTTATTTAAGGAATGGATTTAATAATAACATTTGACTAAATGTTTATGATTATTAGGCTATGATGGGGCAGTCTTCCATCTAAATCAAAACAATTAATACATCTGTCACGATTAATGTGCCGTGACACGATACGTATCACAATATTTTAGATCAACAACTCATTATTTCTTTAGGTAAATTGCTGTGATCTTGGTTCGTCTGGTAGTTTACTATAGTTAACTATAGTTTTAAAGTATAGTAAATCAAAGTGTTCAAAGTCTTTGCCAAAGTTTTTCAAAGTGTCAAAGTTTTCGCCAAAGTTTTTCAAAGTGTCAAAGTTTTCGCCAAACACAGTGTCAAAGCCAAAGTTTTTGTGTCAAAGTTATCACTAAAGTAAATCAAAGTTTTCAAAGTGTCAAAGTTATAACTATAGTTAACTGTTAATTGTAGTAAACTGTAGTTAACTATGTATTTTTTTGTTAGGGAAGATACATGTAATAGGAGGCGTTTCGAAGATGTGAAATACCTGTTTTTGAAAATACTGGGTCGTCAAATTAATGTCTACTTCCAACCTTTTTTCTTATTTTTTGGAATCGCCCGCATGGCGCAGTGGCTAGAGCGTCTGCTCTAGAGTCGCGAAGTAAGGAGTTGATCTTACGTCACGGGTTCGAATCCCACTGTGGGACGTGGAGACCGGTCCTTCGGATGAGACCGTAAACGGAGGTCCTGTGTCGCAGGAGGTGCTGGCGCAAAAAAGATCCCTCCCTGCTTAATGGCCCAAAGTCCCGAGTATAGGACAAAATTTACAGCTCTTCACCGGCAAGTAGTGGCGTCTCCATATGAGAGAAATATTCTCGAGAGGGATATTAAACAATATACAATCTTTTTTGGACTCCTGTAGCTGGTCTAAAAAGGCATTTTCTTACATTAAATAGTCCTAGCTTATACCAAAATGCTTTATGTCCCATAATCGAAAATTGAGGGTTAAACATTTTTTCTCTTGTCTGTCTGTTTGTTTGCAAAAACTTAAAACATTGTCCGAAATTGTTGATTGGTTGGAGCTATGACTCTCATTATTTCACATTTTGTATTCCTTGTGACATGATCTTTCTTTTGGTATACCATAACATTTGACATCTTGACCTTGGAGTTTCATTCAATTTTGCAAGAATTTGTCAAACTTTAACCTTGACCATCATTTTTGAACGCTAAGTCTTGGTACTAGGGCCTTTATCATACTTTGAAATCACAAATTTTCGTGGGGGTTTAATTTTCGTTGTTTTCGAGGTATGACGAGACCCACGAATTCATGTCAACCACGAAATGAAAATGTTACATACCTAACTACTCAACAATTCTTCATCCACGAATTCAAATCCCAACGAACCAAGATTTTTACTCAAACCACGAAAATTTGACCCCACGTTAATAAGTGGTTTTACAGTATTTAAGATGAGTTTTCGTTATTACAAGAACTTTCCATCAATATAAATACTTTTTACCTTTCAACCTCGACCTTTGATTTTGATCCACTGTCAAAAAAACTTTAACCTTTACTTTTTAATCATTAAAAAAAGTCTTTTCTTTGGGCAATCTAATTAAAATTAGATGTAAGATCCATTCGCATATTCGTTAGTTTAGCGAGTATGCGAGTGGATCTTACATCTAATTTTATAAATAGATTGTTTTTTTTTTGGGAAGTAATCATCCCTTGAGGAGTTTGACTTCAAGAAACTTCTCCAAAAGCTGCCAAACGAGGCATCAGTGTTTCACAAAAGCATCTTAGTTTGAAGATTTTCTATATAAAGAGATAAGAGGCCTTCCAGCAGAAAAAAAAATCAACTCTCGTCCACATTTTAGTAAAATGGAATTGATCAATGTTGAAATTAAATTTGCATTATAAAAAAACCCATGTGTTTTCTTTTTCCAAAAAGATTTTAATATTTGTTGAATGCTTTTACTTGGTTAATACTAGGTCTTTAGTTCTGTAAATGCTTATAACCGATAAAATATTCCCAGTTTGTGATCCAATGACCAACAAGTTGCTTTCGGTGTCATAGGCAAGTCCGTATGGAATCAAATTCATGCCAGTTTCTGCTGGCTCTAACAACAGTGCTAGGAACTTCCCGTCTTTGTCAATAATTTGTACCGATCCAGTTGTGGCACAATTAACGATGATGTTACATAGAGCATCCGTGCAAACTGCGCGCGCAAGTAAACGCCTGTAACGGAAGGGCGGTCCCCTATAATTAAACCTAAAATCCCCATCACGTGTCATCGCAACTATGGCCGTCTTCATGTCAGAAATTATGACGTCACCGTTTTTGTTTTCTGTAATATAATGAGGGATACCAAATAAACAATTGTTTTTAGAGTCTTTCTGTTTGAAGACAGCAAGTTCTTTTCCGGAACTGTTGAATCGCAAGACCTTCGAGTCTTGTTTACCCGCTGTCTTCATTCCTATCAACATATCGCCATTGGATGGAGAACTGTAGACACACCAAGGAGTCCATGGATCTTTAATACTAAACAATACGTTCTTAGTTTTGTCCTTGCTAGACAAACGACAGACGTTGTGTCCATTGTCTAGATAAATAAGATCTCCGGATGACGTCACCGTGTGGGTCCCGTGACCTTTGTCGCTGACGTCAGAGATTGTGTGAAGCAAGTTGCCTGATTGGTCAGCCAAAACGAGGGTTGAAAAATCATCACTGATACAGAAACGATCTGATGGTAGAATCGTGATGTGGGTCGAGTACTTGATTCCGGGCACTTCAATGGATTTCTCCAATACTACTTCTGGTAATAGTTTCAACATTGCGTGTCTTGGACAAAAGTATACCAGTCCTGTTTATTTTATTTTTTACTAAGATAGTCAGCGTGCAAGAGATGCATGTGTGTTCATATCCGTGAAGGTTTTAAAACCGCCTTAAACCAATATCTACAAAAAAGGGAAAAAAAATAAATTGCATGAAAAAATGATCTGAAAAAACATTATGATTCTACACACAATACTTTGAAGTTGAAATTATAAAAAGATGCTTCATCGGTTTCTCATTGACAGTATCTGGTTTTTAGAAAAAAAATCTGTTGGAATACCCATGGGTACTCATTGCGTGCCGTTATACGCTAACGAGTTTTAGTATTTATTTATAAATACTTATATTCAAAGCTTCTACATGAAAAGAAGTATGTGAAAGTTGAAGATAACAAACAATGATCACTCTCAGAAACCTATAAACAAGAACCTGCTGTTGAGCTATCACCCGCCGTGGGTCCTATGAAATTAATCAAGATTACGTTGTGTAGTCGAATCTAGTATTAAAACTATAAAGCCTAACATTTAGTATGAAACGAGTCAACAAAACTACAGGCCCAGTGACAGGTTATAATACTAACAACATCATTATAAAGCCCATAGAATTTACGAAATACAAGTTAACTTTTGTTGAAATCCCAGTAACATTATTTAACTTGTCAAATCAATGAGTAGCATTTCTTTCTTTATCTTTTTGTGATCTTCAATTTGACATTTAGATTGATCAATTAACAATGTTCCTTTTTATTCTTATGCTAATGGCTAGAACCACTCAGCGGTTGTGAGCGGTAGGCAGGGGATGCTCTCTCCTCCATGGTACTCAATTCAACCCTCTGTTTACAGAGGTCTGTGTTTGCTCTGACCGTAATATGTATTGTTGAAACTGTATTTAATCTTCACATGTCATTTAAATGTTATTGACTTGACATTTAGAAACTATATTTTGTTTTAACAAACATTTCTAAATAGTAAATACATGAATTATTAACCGAAACTTTAAAAAAATCAAAGGCATGACTATTTAATTAGCTCAAAATAATATTTATACCGATAATTTTGTTTCAGCATTCATGATAAAAATCAGTGAAATAAAATAAAACGATCTAGTGAAATTTATTACATGTACCCCCCCCCCCCCCATAAAAAAAAACTGTTTTCTTATTTTTTCACGTTTATAATTCAAAACGTTTCGATAGCTCTTGCCGTATATCAGGCTTTGTAGAAATAACTCAAAATGGATCATGTGGATCGTATGGCTTAATCTTTTTTTAATTCCCGTTAAAAATTCAAAGTTACAATATATTGACCGACAGATCATGATGAACATGATAGGTTCCCTCATACATCATACTGTCCCCTCGGAGGAACAGTCTGCAAAGAATACATTTTGAAATAACTTAATAACCGAAATGTATTTGTCAAATATATACATTGTATTAACTTGAATAGGCTCCATTTAATCTATGACGTTTACTTTGATCGGTCGATTAGGAGGAAATACTTATTGAATTTGGTTACAAATATTACCCGATGATAGATGACATTTGCGGGGGGGGGGGATCACCACCCAAATCAAACCCTTTCTACAAACCTTTCGGAGTGAGGAATATCCTTCAATGAATCCTCTTGTTGTCTTCGTTTTAGTAAACGGAACAAATATTGTTTTGTCAGTTACCAACAGACTTATTTCAGTAAGAGTTATCCCGCTTGCACCTTGTTCATTTAGATCTACCCAATTTTTTTTCATTATAAAGTATATAATTAACCTAAAATCTAAAGCTTGAAGATTTTTTTTCATACTTAGTAAGTATTGAGGGAAAATTATCACTTACTTTCTATATAACTAAAATTCTTTAAATAGATCAAGAAATTTCAAATAAATAAATAAATATAAATTAAAAAAATATCAGATTCCGAGTTATGAATCTACTTTCTCTGTCAAGTTCTTGACACAGGCACCTGACCTGTGATTCCTGAATATTTTTTGTAACATGGAATTTATTTAATTCATTTTTTTTTTTTTTTCGCTGATACTCTTTAGTGTGTGTTTAGCATTATTCAATTTAAATTACCCGCTGCTTCATTATTTTAGTCATGGCTGATTTAGTGTTGGGGGATTTATATTGGGGGTGGGGGGCTTGTAACGCTGATAAATTTTTATATGTTAAAATAATGGGGGGGATAAACTTGGATCCTCCTTATAGAAACACAAATCTCTCCTAAAATGGGAGAGTCATGTATTTGAAGGTCTCATGACACCCATGGAGTGCCTCAAGGCCGCCCATAGAACCCTGCATTCAAAGACCCCCTACAGCTCCGCCGTTGTTGCATATGGAATTTATTTCACGATGAGGACAGATTTTTTTTCGGGAGTGCGAAACAAGCAAGGGTAAACATATCTTTTTTTAATAATTGGAGAATCCACTCACAGGTGAACTAATACTTACCAACCATAAGACATTGAAAGACTACCGAGCCTTAATAATTATAATTCTTTATTAACTCTGAAATGTGAAATAATTCAAGTCATATTTTTGACGGGTAATTAGTTCTTTTGAGTTTGACTTGACATATTTAGTGCAGTGCTGGCAAGTGCGTATTATTATAATTTTTTAATTCAAATATTTTTCCCTGTTCATGATTTGGATGTAAAACATATAAAAATATGTTGTTTTTTTTCAATTTGAGTTCACAGAAAATATCACATGACCTCTAAAGGACACTCTCAGTTTCACAATAGTGAAAAGAAAGAAAAAAAAAACTAATTATTTAAAAGATTTGGTAATATTCCGACTCAAAACTTCAAAACAGTATGATACATTGTAGGATGTTTAAAAACGAGAGAGAGAGAGAGAGAGAGAGAGAGAGAGAGATGGGAGCATGCTGTACACAGCGGAGCTGGTGTTCGTTCATCGATCGGAAGTCGCTCTATGTAGATCGATATCTCTCTTTACAAAACAAACTTCTTCTGCTACAGAGTCTGGTGTAGAAACACGATAGTTCACCACCGACAGGGGGGAAATAACCTCACACGCCGCGTGCAACCCCAGGCGGCAGATTCCAACCAACGGATCAACGGCAGGCGTAACCCACCCCCGCCCGGAGAAGAGTGTGTAATGTGAAATCCTCGCGTGGAGATTTTTTCAGTGCATTTTTATTGGTCGATTTTTACATTTAGTAAACACAGCAACTCGTGAACAGTTTCTCTGTTAGCACCTTCTGTTAGTTACAGATTTCTGAGTCATTTGTTGATAATGGGATAAAAATCGCGTTTTTATTTTTGTTTTTTGTGGTGACGATTCAGCTGTGTGGTTTCAAGGACAATTGAAAAAAAATGCCCGTACGGAGAGGTCATGTCGCCCCACCAAACATCTTCATTGATACAATAATCCGGAAATTTGATGGTCAAAGTAAGTTACGGTTTTGTAGTTTATACTTACCTTTCAGGCGGGAAGAAGTGTCACACATGTGACTTGAGTCTTCTGTCAAACTAGACGTGATGAAGGCACACGTGACTTGTGGAACCCTCACACTTTGCGCTTTCTACGTAATGTACATTCTGGTATAATATAATATTCATTTACCTATTGAGATAAATTATGTATGGTCAACCTCAATAGAGACATGTACATGATTGTATAATTATGTATACTTATATATAGGCCTATACATGTAGTTGCCTAGTATGTAGCCTAATGTAAGCCTAATTTTGAACTGACTAAGCAACTCTCCATTTCATTCTGTAAAAGACGAATGATAAGTCTACCCCTCTATAGTATAAAATCTTGTTGATTTTATAGTATAGAGGGGTAGCCTTATTTATCATTATCCATGTTATCTGTTAAATGGGCTGTATGAATTACAATGTAGATAGCTTTGAACAGAATTGGTTGTCAGCAATATTTTTTATGAACGTCAGCTGTTCCTACAGTCATGATAGAGATATTAAGTAAAAGTTGAATAGAACATGTGGAATATATATTAACATGATTAAGCAGGGACCTAAATACTATATGTTAATTAGTATATTGGTCCCTTGATTAATATAACATACTGCATGTGTCTTTGGAGAAGCTAAGATACTAGGTACTATGTACATGTAAATAAGAAAATAATGATGCAGAAAGAATGTAGTTTAATATAAAATGAATCATAATATTATGAAAATTAAATATTCATTGTTAAAAAGATATTTTAAAAATGCAACATTTTTTGCCCCACTCGTAAAATCTGGACAGAAGTGTCAATGCATCACCATGAGCATGATGAGGTCATGACACAATTAATTCATAATATATAAACATTGTTAACCTAAACTTAATTCAGTTTTAAAAAGGAATTAATAATTATTAAGCCTTTCAGAGATTTTTTATTACATATATACATGTTACATCACCATGTTCACAAGATGTGCATATTTTTGAATTTTCTCTAAAATCTTTTGAATATGAATATTTCAATTTACATCATAGAGTTTTCTGAACTTTTCAAATGCCCCTGGGTATATTCAGAAAATTTTCTTAGTGACAAAAATGAATGAATGAACATTTTAAATTAAAAAAATAATAATGAAATAAATGAATAAAATATTTGTAAGTCTTTCATAAAACATGATAAATTTGTTACAGTAATACATGTACGGTACATGGAAAATAAACCTCATGAAATATCAAAATTGAATTTAAAAATTTAACAAAAAGAGAATTTCACATAGGAGTAAATCAATAATTACATTTGTACAACATTCGTACATGATATTTTTTTTGCCAAGGGAAAGAGATTTACTGTATAAGTATAGAAGTCAATAATAGCTTTATCTTGTATCATATATTAAGATGAAACACATCTTAGAGAAAACGTTTGAGAGATGATCCCACCTCCCCCTCTGACATTTTCCGTTCGAGATAAGAGGCTAATTAAATCTTTGCGATGTATATTTATCCTTTATACGCGTCTAGATATCCGCGTTATTATTTCTGTTTTTTCATCTCATTGTATTTCCTCATGTCATAGATAATTCCCCTACATCGCTTCATTAACATCACTAGTGGCTGGGTGTATTGGTAGTAAATTGGTATGTGTTATGATACATGGTTATTAAGAGAGTCAATGTTATACTGGTTAAACATGTATATATGATAAAGTTCAAAAGAGGTATATGATTGTGTATTCATGCATACATGTATCTATTCAGTTATCAGTGTAGAGTGTTGTAACCTAAGACTTGGGGCTTGGGGGATGGGAAGTCAAGATCATCTTTTTTTTTTTGGTGGGGGGGGGCAAGGATTATGATTTCCAATCTGCCCCCCCCCCCCCCAAAAGAATGATCTTCCTACCTAGTCTTTGTTGGACCCAGAGGCACATATAGCAAGGATTATGATTTTCAGTCTTCTCTGCTCTTGGCTGTCCTCTCCACCTCTCTCCAGGTTATTTTCCCCCAGTTCTTTTTCTATGGTTCTCCTCCATGTTGTTTTTGGTCGGGCTTGGCATTTCCTCCATTTCCCTTTTGGGGTCCATCTAAATGCCACTCTTGTGATATATCGTTTGTTATTGGCTTTCTTAGAACAATGACCATCTCCATCTGCATTTTCATGTGCATATTGTTTCTATAGGGAATTTTAAGTTGAAAGTGTTTTGTTGCATCTAATCTATGAAAGTTAAAGTAAAATAGTCATGTGTCTATGAAAAAAAAAGATGAAATAGTTATTTTGTGTCTAAAAAATTAAAGTGAAATACGGGGTATAGTCATGGTGCATCTTTGAAAGTTAAGGTGAAAATAGTTATATGTAATTTAGTTGAGTTGAAATAGTCATGTTGTGTCTACAAAACTTAAATCATAATTTATAAATGGTCATGTTGTGTCTATAAAAGTTCAAGTGAAATAGTCATGTTGTTTCTCTATAACAGACTTGAAGTAAAATCGTCATGTGTCTTTGAAAATCAAAGAGAAATAGTCATGTTCACAGTTGTGTCTATGTAAGTTAAAGTAAAATAGCCATGTATCTTTGAGAGTCACGGAGAAATAGTCATGTTCATGTGAATTGCGTCTATAAAAGTTAAAGAGAAGTAGTCATGTTTTGTCTATGAAAGTAAAGATAAAATAGTCATGTACACATGCTGTATCTATTTGGAGAAGAAGTTCAACAGTATGTTGTGTCTATAAAAAGTAAAGTCAGGGGATTTAAAAGTTTATGTGAATTAAGGTGCATACATTGTAGAACCTGGTCATGTGCACTGATTGTCTGTTGAGATTGAATGTTTGAAAAACAATAGTGACATGTATGCTTTCCAGAGGACTTTTGGGGGAATGAGGAAGGTGGATGGTTTAATGTGGGAGTTCGGGATCCAGATTTGACTATTGGGGGTTTTTGATCAACAAAAGCAGTTTCCAACAAGAATTCAATTTACACTTTTTTTGTTCTTTGATCTAAAGTTGAATAGGGATATTAATTCAGTAGGCAAATGATTACTACTGTACTTGTTAATGCTTTTCTTAAGTGTATATTCAATTTAGGTACTAGTAAGTTCCTGTTTGATCCTGTCACCCATGTTGTGCAATGGTTAGAGTTAAGGGTGAAACGTTTACTGAATTTTGTAAACGTTTAAACGGATAGCAGTAAACGAAACGGTACCGTTTAAACGGGAGATATTCTATGTTGGATTTTTATGGCTACTTACTCATGAAACTCGAATTTTAATAATCAATTCTTTCACTTTAATATAAGTATGAGTTGTTATTACAAATTTATTGTTGGTTATTGTGATTTAACCGTAAGAATTTGAGGCGGCGGCGCATTAAATTCATTCACTTACGACCTCGTCACCCAACTGCTTGGTTTGTTTGGCTACCGGACGTAGAAAAAATAATTGTAAAGATGGATCTTTTAATCTCGAAAAAAGTAAAACAAGGCCTGCTGACTGTATTGAAACTTTTCAAAGACTTGTAAAAAATGTAATATATTTATTTAATCAAAATATATCAAGTTTTATATTTCAAGTGTCGTAAAACATCGCTAGTATTAGCAACTCGGAAATCGGAATTAATTATGTTAGCCCGTATCGGGTTTTAGATATTTTCATTCAATATGTTTCCGGTTTAGATTGGTCAAAGACGGTGTTTCTTTTGTAAATTATGAAATAAAACAATTTTTTGTGTTAAACTTTATTTCTGATAGACATTGATAATGACCTTCGTGTAAACGTTTACTCAAACTGTAAACGTTTAGAGCATATAATCGAAACGTCGCCGTTTACACGTGTAATCGTTTCGCCCTTAGTTAGAGTGGTTAAAGAAATGATCCTTACATTATGAGTTCTAATCCCACTTGGGATGTGGAGACTGGTCCTTCGGATGAGATCATATAAACCGAGATCCCATGTCGCAGTAGGTGCTGGCATGGAAAAGATCCCTCTCTGCTCAGTGGCCCAGAGTGCCGACAAAGGACAAAATTTGCAGCTCTCCACTGGCAAGTGGTGGCATCTCCATATGAGTCAAAAATTCTTGAGAAGGATGTTTAACAATAAACAATCAATCAATCTATTTCAGCTAAACTGAATTTGATATAGATTCATCCACATGAAACTTATAAATGAGGTCACCTGACCTTACGTGACCCCATCTACCAGTTTACGTATATCTGTATATCCAGGCAATATTGGATTTATAGTCATCCCCAAGTTTTTTTTTTGAATTTATGAGTACAAGTCACTACATGTATTAAATTCAGAACTTGAGGCTTCACAAAAATATGACTCAGCATTGATTAAAATTGATTTTTGAGTTAACTGGGTCCCCCCTCCCTTGCCAAGCAATTTGGTACATTTTCAAGCATAGGTACATTACTGAACATTGCTGAGACTTATGGTACAATTGTCAAAGATGGAGAAGTTATGTAAATTTAATCTAGTCAAGTAATATCATATTGTGATGGTGGGGGGTATCAACCATATCATGCATAATAAAGTGCTCAGAAGTTACTCAGTGGGGTAAATTTTTATCCAGATTAAAGCTGATGATCCAACCAATTATTATTAATACCACACTGACAGTCAGTTCCTCGAAGAGTCAGTCCATTGAATATACTGAATATGTTCTATTGAATGTACTATGTTTGAATGACTTAGCAGAAGCATTAAAATTCAAATATCTATCTATTTGATTATATAAGATAGAATTAAGCAATTGATAGTTAGAGAATACAATTAGCTTAGGGGGTTTGATTGTCTATTATAGTTTGTCTGGAAACTCTGATGGAAATCTTTGTGATTCTAATTCTGAAAATTTTATTTGTGTACATGTTTTGAAGTAAGATTTATTCATAAAGTAGAATTTTAGCTTACAACAGTTGTGGATTGGCATGTAGATGAATTCCAGCTTCATGCAGATCATGTTTTAGATCATGCCATGCCT